TTGCAAAAAACCACTTATGCAAGCTGCTGCAACAATTAGAAAAAAAAAACTTGATAAAGAATTTGTTAAATGGTTTCGTAGTAATTATGCATCCAATTTTGAAGTTCCACCAGATTTAAACTATATAAATATATGTCGGGGATGTAATAGTAAATATATAAAAAAAAGTATGGAATTTTTAGTTTTTTTTTTTTTTTAACGATAAAAAAAGTTATTTAATTTTTTTTATTTTAAAATTTAGAAAATTTAAACTTGCAAAAACCATCGATTGAAGAAGAATCAGTAGAAGCTATAGATTTAACTATTGATATAACTTCACATATTCAAGAACATGAAGAAATCAAACCTTTGCCAAAAAAAAAATCTATAAGTATGTTATATAAATTTAATAAATATGTTATGTATTATATAATTACTATAATTCTCAATTGGAGATCGTCTAAAGCCTTGTAATATTTTGTATATATTATAATTTTTAATTTACAAATCAATTAGTAATTAATTTAAAAACTACATGGTTTTAAACTATTTCTGTAATTAGTAAAATTAAAATTTGCTATAATATACAGCCAGATCTCTCTAAGTGCACGCCCTTGGAATCACACTTTAACAACGCGCATATAGAGAATAATAAGAAAAAGTGCATTTATAGAGGTCAAGTATATATTTTGGCCAGCACTTAAGCATGCATTTAGAGGGTATGCACTTATTGAGGGTGCACTTAAAGAGGTCTGATTGTATATTTTAATCTATATAATACGTAATATATAAAATAAAATTAATTATTATTATTATTATTATTATTATTTATATACTATTACTAACTTTATTATTAAAGAATATATATCGCTAGTGTGTTTTAATCAATTTGAGCAGCCAAGAAAAAAATTAGATGGTTCCATTCCAATTCCTATAGATCTCAATACATTAACCTCATTTGAAGAACTTGAAAAAGCAATTTTTTCATATGATTTTCCTAAATCTTGAAAAGAAATTGAGTTAGATTTAATTTGTTACCAATTAAGTTCAGCACAAAAATCCGATCACTTTAATTTAAAAGCAAATGATGCAATACAAGCATTTATTAAAGAAGCTAAAAAACGAAAAACTATTCAATTGTGCATTTATCAAAAGAAAATTAGCAAAAAAAACAAATCAGTTTATGGAGGCTCAGTTGTTGATGATGATGAACTACAATTAAATAAAAAAATTCGAGTAAGTAGTATTTAAATAGTATATATTTATTTTTCAAAACTACTGTTTAATATATTATTTATTTACTGTTATAGAGAGTAACAATTTAGCATCTTTTTTTAGCTATAGAAATATATTGTTAATAAATTGTTGCTCTGTATAATGTCGAATAAATAATATATTAAAGAAATAATTCTTGATAGCGTTTTATATAGGCTAGCTAGGTTAGTATTTCGAAGTTCAAACTCAGTTTAGCAAAATTATACACTATAAAAATTAGATTTTGATTAATCCTGAATCTGGTAACTAAGATCATATATGCTGCTGTTAATAGAAATTAGGCAGATTGATAGTTTTAAAAAAAATTATATCTCAACTTTCACAGCTCATATATCGATGAATTTGAATGTTTTTTTAATAATTCAATATTCAAAAGAACATTTAGAGCTTAATCTTTCTTTTGAATACTAAATTATCAAACTAGCCTCCAAATTTATCAAGATACAGGTGGGTGACAAAAATATTTCC